GTGAGAATAAAATTAATATTTTTTTTCCAAATTCTACATATAGTTATGCTGAAAAGAAAAACCTAGGTTCTCCCTTCAAGAACAATTTCTCCAGTGTCTTCAAGAAAAGAAAGAACACAGACACTTACACAATCACATACAAACATAAAGCCAGATTAGTGCTCATTACCTGAAAACTTGCTAAATGTTGTTGGTGTTCAGCAAGAGTTGCAGCTAAAGACTCTGCATGGCCACTTGTACCACCATCATGTGCATTTTGTAAAATATCTGGACCCTCTCCGTTGTTAGCTTTTGCCTACAAAAGATTAGGGATGATAAGCACACTGTCGCAATTCACATTCCATTTAAGACAATAAGCACAGCAGTTCAATAAATTAGGTAACTTCTCTATTTCATACTGCAGAAAAGTGGAATATTGAGACCCAGCAGAAGGAACCTATTTTTCCCATTAACTTATCCAGAGCAGCACACCATAAGTTGACATTTTGAGTTCAATGGATTTTATACAACTGATCAAACAGATTTTTTTGAAATAAAAGTTAGTAGATGTATTAAAAAAGGCACCAAGGGAGTACCGCTCATGTACAACAACTGATCAAACAGATATGCACTCTCCATTGATGACTAGCTAAGTTATGTTTTTAATACCAAAAATTTGATCTGACATTATTAAAATAAACAAATATGAACATTTATGAACCACACTGAGACATCCAGAAGAAACTTCGGAATGCAAAATTTACGATGTTACCATACACGTGGAGAAAGATGATCACGGATTAGTAGCAATAATAATGTAGTAAAACAAATATCATGAAGTACATACCAGATGAAGTGACTGTTTATGAATACGTTGTAATGCATGCGTCCAACGCCTAATAATTTCTGCTACATCAACCGTCTGGTGAACCCTTCCACCTCGATCATCCATTCGAGAAAGTGTTTCATCAGTCTGTGAGTGGGATGAATCAAAACTGTTCTTTAACTTTTCTCTATGCACATTGCCATATGATCCATCACTCTGTTCCTTGTCATCAAAATGTGCTGAAGCTAGATCACTAGACTGGATGGATAAGATATCCGTGTGAGGAATCTGAGAGCTCTGATCCATAGCAGCAAGTAGAGATGATCCAGATATGCGGTACCTGTAAAGAAATTTTATACATCAAAGTGCAAAAGAATGCATCCTCAACCAGAGGAAATAGTGGTTAATTACCTATGCTCCCGATGAGCGATCAAATCCTCAATTGGACCTGAAGCAAGAACTTCATGTTGACCTGCACATAGACATAATGGATACAAATGTCATCGCAATTAATTGGATGGTGGCAAACCCAAAAACCTATAATTAAAACCAGAAGAAAGAATCAACACCAAAATAAGAACATAAAAAAAAATAACAGTTCAAATTTGAAAACAGTTAAGCAGATTGAACAGAAAAATGTTTTTACTTGGTGAATCAGATTTCCAATTAATAAGTGAAATCTCAGAAGAAAGATGAGATCCACATGAACAGATTTATCAATACCTTGAAATTGTTCAGATGCATAAAGCATAAAACTAGATTCATATGAGATTTCAGGAAACCTGGTAGAGAACTAGTGAACAGATCTAGGAGCTCTTAGCTTTGCTTATTAAAATTCATTTTTTTTTCTCAAAGCATGTGTTAGCTAAAAAATCTTAAAGATGTTTGAAATACCATTTAATTTCAGCCTAGGAATTAGATTAGCCCAATTCTATTACTATAATGAATACAAACACAACTTCAGACAGCACATAACACATGATGATCCTAAATCAATAAATTTTTACAAATCCAGATCCAAGAAAAATTATATAACAGAAAATTTATATCATCAAGGCTTTTTCCCATGCAAGAAAGTCCACTTCACCTAATTATCTGAGCTCAGCTCTGTCAAGGACAAATATCCTCCACCTCATACATTTGTATGAAAAAACTCATGCCTTACCCACGGCAGCAATATACCATTATAATTTGCATTTGACCATTCATACAAACGGAAAAGAAACTATGATGTTTACTTACTTTTACGAGCTAATATAGACTCCCAAAGGCGAGTAGCTTTTGAAACTAAATGAGAATTCTGACTTGAACTGGATACAAGGTCATCCCACAGTTCTCCTTCCATCTTCACTTTGTTCCGCATATCATGAAGTTTTTCCAGCTCTTGCTGCAAATATGCCTGACACCAAAATATTCCATAGAAAATTGTAAAAACAGATCCCAGAAGAGGGAAAAGGAAAACAATATTCTCTTCTTCCTAACAAGAAAATTGCATCCCTTTACCTCTTCAGCACAAAGACCACGAAATTCTGCAGTCATTTCATGAGCCAGGTTTGACCACATAGCCTGTCTGTGTACTGCTGTTTCTGCATTTTTAAGAAATTTCCTTCGTTCAAGTGCTATTCTAGCCTGTTGAAGATACCAAATGTAAGGTTAAATGATTTAAAAATGTCATCACACTAGAGTCAATATCCCCACATCTATTTGGTAGATCGTCTAATAGAGAATTCAAAATCATTACAGAAACTATGGAACAGTATGTATCCCACAACCTTTGTAATGGGAAGTAATGTAGCTGCATGGGAAAAAGCTACATCTGTCAGTGAAGCAGGCAGAGGATTAGAAGCTACATCTGCAGGAAACGTCCGTCTATGGACCTCCCTTAGTGCATGCAAGGAAAGTTGCCATAAAAGTTCTACGAACCTGCAGTCAAATATGAAGCTTTGTTCAGTTGACATGAAAGAAAAATGCAAGCATCATCCAATACAGTAGAACATAAGAACCATAATAGCTTACAGCATCTTGGTTAACAGGAACATTACAAACAGATTCAAGTCTTGCCATTTGAAATTTAACTCACGGGAAAATTTCTTCTCAAGATTCTAAATTCTTGCAATTTACTTACCACATAAATAAGTATGTGCTTCGGCTCACATCTTTACCCACAAAAATCTACTGAATGAGAAAGAACAAAATCCATCTTGTTCCAGCAAGGAAACTAGATGGCCCTCCATTTAAAAAAAAAACATTAAAACAGCGCACAAGAAGTTATTCTTAAGACAAAATTCTAGCAACTTTTATTTACCACATGAAGATAAATGCTCTTCAGAGCATACCTTCACCAAGAAATCTATCCTGAAAGAAGCAAAAAAAAATTTTCTTTATGAAGTATGAAAAGCTGGAATACGTACACTAAAAGACCCCAGTAAGCTACTTATCTCTGTAGGTTGAAGTGAAAAATAAAACAACTTCACATTCATATTTATGTTCGCATTTTGTCACTCGGTTCTATCAGCACATAGATCAGCTTTTTCCTCTGAATTTAACTCAGAAAAGATAATAAGCATTCAAGAGAGGAAGCATGGGAAATCAACCTTGGTCCACAACACGTAGCAAGCGAAGAAACCCTCGAGTTACTCCTCGGGAGCGCCCCTTGCGATTCGAGCTCACTAATAATCCCTTGCACAACCTTCACCAGCATAGTTTCACTACATAATTATCCTCAATTTAAAGTAAAAAACTAATAAATAAATTTAAACAACAAAACCAAACAGTAATCCGAATGAGAATCCAAAAATTCTCATCTTCTCCTGTTTACCTTACGGAAATCACGAGATTGCGCAGAATCGAAAATCGGCCAAACCTTGTCGAAATCCTGAGAGATCGCAACGTAATTAAACGAAAATGAAACCAAAATTATCAGATCAAAGTGAAACCAAAAGACGAACACAGACACACAGCGAATTGTGTAAATATGTAAAAACAGGTAAACAGAGAGGAGAGAGAGTGTGTATGATACTTTGGCGGATTGAGTAGGTCCACGAAGCGAAGAAAGGATGAAGTAGAGAAGCTGTTCGCCGAGTTTAGGGTTTGAGTGACGGAAGAGTCCGACCCGAGGCGTGCCGTTGGATGCTCCCAGCCCGATTACGTTCGGATCGAGACCTAACAGCAAGCAGTTGGTGTACATTGCACTCTCTAGCTCAATCTCTCTCTCCTTCTCTCTATCCATCGTCATCACCACCACCACCACCACCACCACCACCACCAACTCCTTCTAGTCTTCTTCTCTCTCTGTTTACTCTCCCGATTCCTTCTGCTCTGCTTTTTCTGCGATTCTTCTTGGTTTTTCAAAATTTTTATCGATTTTTTATTTTCAAATTCGATTAAATTGCAAATCAAAAAATATTCCGGGTTTTTAAACAGGAGGTCCCTGAAGAAGCATTTAATTAGGAAAACGGAAGTGAATGGCGAAAGAGGTAGGGGGTTGATTTATAATTATGGATTTATTAGAGGGGCTTTTTGAAAATATTTGGGTAAATTAGTCACGTTTGTCGAGTGAAGTTGTTTTGAAATGGATAGAGGGCGACTAAGGATTATTGCTAACGTGCGCAGGAGGAAAATGTTGCCGGCCACTTGGAAAAGGTGTTGGATTTTCAAAAATGTTTAATTAATAGTATGTTTGTTTAATTAGTCCTTAAAATAAGTGAAATAAATAGAAATAAAAAAAAATGTTTAATTTTTAATTTAGATTATTTAATTTTAAATTTTGTTTAACAAAAATATCTGAAAGAAGTAGCTATTGACCCTTATTTCCTTAGTTTATAAAATAATAAAAATATGTATTGTTTTTTTTTTATAATTTAAATAGACTTTCTACATGCTGCCAACTACCATTTCAAAATATATTTTTAATTATTTCCGGAATTAATTGGAAATGTTTTATTTAATTAAATTTTCTAGTTAATGCACATATATATGTATGCATGAAACTTAAGTTGTTAATCTATAAATTTCAAAGCTTTTCGTGCATTTTTCTTAAAAATAATTGATACATTCAAAATATATTATGATATTTGTATTATTTAATTCGGTGATATTCAACTTCAAATTTTAATAAAAATTTAAAAATTTTAATTTAATTTTTTTAATAATTAAAAATAAATATTTACTAAAAATTTTGTGTCAGACTATACTTTCAACTTATAATAATTTAGAGGTTAAAAATTCATCCTTTTTTTTTTGTAAGATGCATTTATACTATATTATATTTTAAAAAAAAACAAAAAGATATCATTGAAACATAATATTTTTATAAATAAGTCTTATTTTACAAAAGAAGAAAGTGTAATTTTTATTTATAAATTTTTTTGAAAAATAATAATTGAATAATTTAAAAAATAATTTTAAGAATATAGAAAATAAGCACATTTTCTCTAGTTTTTCAGATTTTTTATATAATAAATTTACTTAATTACCCTATTGAAGTTTACATAAAATTAATGACATATAATAAATATAAATTATTATGTAATTTTTTATAATCAATACTTTATTCAAATCTATATATTAATTAATTTATGCTTGTTTCTTGTCAACATAATAATGGCCAAAGCCGGCCAACTACATGACTGGACCGTACTTAAAGTAAAGAATGATTAGCAAAAAAATTCTTGGTAGCATAAGGAATTATCTTGAATTGCATCTATATATACATATATATAGAAGATGCTAGTGAGCATAACCCAAATATTGTTATCACAATTAATTCAAAGTAGATAGCTGGTATATATAACACTCTATATAACTAGATTAAGACTAATGTTTGAATCACAAACATTAGTTTTAAAGCATGCAATAGATGAACTTTCTGTCTAGTTATCTTTATTCTCATCAACAAAAATTAGCATGTTTTTCGTTTTACCTTTCTTCTACGAGCTTTACGACCACGATAAGAATAAGCTCCACGGCGTTCTTCATCGTTGAACTCATTATTGCAACATGGGTTGACTTCGGATGGCTAAATGCGGAAAGCACATACCAAGTATATTCTACTTTCCTTCAGAAATCTGATACTATGTTAACTAATAAACCTTAACCAATTATCAAAATCTGGAACCTATAGCAAAGGATTCATTTATTCTCTATACTGTAAAGCAAATATATACAAGAGAGTTTGTAAATAGTTTGTAAATAGATAACTATCATATTCACATTCTCCCGCATATCAAGGAGATCCGCTTCTAAAGTTATCACTTGCTATATCGGAAAGCTAGCTGCAAATACTTACAAATCAAACAATAGGTTTTCTCCCCTTAAACCAAGTTATCAACTTATCAATATCTGCTCTATACTACCGAACTATGGTATCCTTACCATCAAAATTGAGCAGCATTCACAAAACCAGACTCTTTACCTCCTTTTCTCCAACATATCCAAATTGTATCTATAACATAGTCATCCACAATCCCCAGCAGCTTTCTGTCTTACGATCGGCATCACGTCACGCCTATCATTTCAAATGGAATGCGATTGTAATTTCCACCCTGCTTCGTGAAATACTCCTTAAGGGATCTGAATATGAACGCCAACTTTGTAAATAGCTTGCAGATCTATGTTCCTTGAATTCAAACTTAGAGGTCAATAATTTTACCTGCAACGCGGCAGTTGGCATTCGGATTCCTTGCATGCACGAGCATGAAGTTGCAGAACATACCACAACTTCTTACAGAGATTACAACCTCCGCTAGAATACACTTTACATTGCCTGCCATGTTGGAACAGTCCCCTAGCCTTGTCGCAATATTGATATTGGCAGTGCTGTAATTGACATTGTGCCGCATGCAGCAATAGATCAAGCGTTTTTGAGAGCTGCAATGTTCAGTAACAAATTTCATTAACAAAGGAAGATGCAAAATACATCAGAGCTCAAAATCCTAATACTACTCAGAAGACTCAGTACAAAGAAGGTAGAATCGTTCAAACTCATTATTATAAAATTCAATAAAGTCGCTGACGATAACATCATGCTATCTTCAATTCTCATTTAATACCCAATTAATTTTCATCTATTTTTATATTATTCTTAACATATAGAATTATAATATTTGATCTCCTCCCTCACCTTGAATTTTCAACTTTAATTTAAAGAAGTGAATTTCCACCTATAAGGATCAGAGGTGGGGCAGAGATGGAATTAATTTCTAACTCCATATGTCAAGATTATGAAAATTATGAATTCACTGAGAATTGAACCAAACACAAACTAAAACGTAAATCATCAAATTAAATTCATCAATGTAAGATCAAGAATGATCATTTTAAATCTTAAAAGATCACTCCAGTATTAGCTGCAAACCCTTCATATCCTAACTAATCTAAGGCTTTTTTTGCATAAGAAAACTTCATTTTCACAAAATTGTACATGGTTAAGTTGCACCAAAAAAAATTATTAGATAAATATAAGATGGGCTAAATAAGCTGTGTTTTTTTACTAAATTATAGGGACTTATATTCTATCGACCACATAATTTGGTAAATGTGTTTACTAAATCTTAAAAGTAATAAATGCAAGTCAAAGAACAGCAAGCATAACATGTGGTAGAAAAAGAAGTATAATTTGGTAGTAAGTCAAATACTCAACACAAATGTTTATTTGGAACAACATTATTCACTAGGAAGAGGTAAAGGTAATCTAGCTATCTGTCAGACACTTTTTTATTTCAAAAAAAAAAAAAAGCTATCTGTCAGGGTTTTTTCACTGGATGTATTGCTGTTAAATTGTGTAAAAGTAATTCTAGAGAATGAGTTAAAATTCAATTCAAAACTAAACTAAACAAAACTACAAGAACATCCTCCCTACTTATTTTGAAGTTGAAATTTAGTGAGTTCAAATTTAGCGACTTCATTTTCATTACAAAATCTGACAAGTCAAAGTAACATCATTTAAGACCAAACTATCGTATAATGAGAATCTAACAGACAGCTAGAACAGTAACAAATTAATCTCCAATAACTATATTTTATTAATAGCAATCAGAAGGGTCCATCATGGCATATGTTTGTTGTCACAAGTTTCTTCAGCCAGTATTGGAAATTTTAACGAGCGGCTAAAAGATTCAAACTGAATCTCCTGAGTCAAATTCAGTAAAACATAAAGGGATCGTACCGCAGTATCAAATAATCAAGCGGAATTTTACAGTGTCTTATGCAGAAATCAGTACATTCTAAAAATTTCAGTAGCGTTCTAGTCATCAGTCAACCAAAAATCTCTAAGTTACTGCATAATATACAAATTTATCAAATTACAAGAGCAAAAGTGGTGAACAAAAAGAAAGTTTGAACACTATTATTAACAACCAAAAATTGAAAATCTCAAATTTCAATAATCAAATTGGTAACCCAGTGTTTGTATATTAACATATGAATAATCTGCCGAAAACAAAGTTAAGGCATCCTATTTATAGGTATGAAATGCAATTAAAGTAGGAATTCTTAGATCTATTTAGGAAATCTATTCAATAGAAAGAAAAAGCATATTAATTGATTAAACTACGATAGAGTAAATACGATTCTTTATTTTTAAAAAAAGAGTAAATAGGATTCTAGCTAAATAGAAAATAATAAACTCACACAACTGATAAGCCTAAAGGTAATTATTCCTAAATAAGATAAACGTCTTAATAACTAGCAATCATTATAAATATATGAATATTTCTTAGCATTTAAACATATCTAATTTTGGAAGTTTTTGTTCTGCATCAGAAATACATGAAATTAGAAATGGTGCCTCCATATACCACAGTAGCACCTACATGGCAGTTGTTGAAAACCAGAGATGCAGAAGTATACTAATGCACTTCAATGTATTCCTGAGTAGGAAGTTTCCATATTAGTGTCGTAATTCTTGATGTATTTCCGAATAGGAAGTTTTTATATTAGCATCATAATTCTTGATGTAATCCAAATAGGATGTTTTTATATTCGTGTCATGATTCCTAATAAAATTCATAACATATCAAGACATTGTCCATGGAAAGGTAAGTAACAACGCAAATACAGTCTAGTAGTCATGTACAAACAAAACCAATGAAATGCCAGAAGATCATAGAAGCTAAAACCTTTGCAAGGAAATTAAAAATTTGTGCCACGTGTAATGCTGGTGCACCCATATCACATGCAACGTAGAATTAAGTTATTAAGGCATGCATGGATCCAAAAACTTTCCCAAGAATGTGATTTTTATAGAAATCAAATTCAAAACTCACTTTCAGAACATGTGATGACAAGCAAAGTTTCTCCAGCTGTTGCTCGATCCCCTCTTGCTTCCCAAAATGAAACGCGGTGTCAGCCCAAACTGCTAGGATGGTTACCTTCTCCAAAGCTGTTGCGTTAGTAACCAAAAATTTTACAAAATTTATTTCGTATTCAACTGCAGCAAACTTTGACAAGCTAAATCTCTTGAGGCGGGACTTTAAACAATCAGGTAGCGTATCAAATATGGATGTGTTGATTCCCTGAAAGACAATAAATAGTCATGAATAAGAAGGTCAAGAAAATCTTCCGGGCCACAAACTCCATTTTGTAACAATAAGCAATGTACTAAATGAACAATCAGCTTTTAGAAACCAACCACTGGAATGTCAAGAGATTGTAGATTTGGTGATTTATTAAGAAAGCACATCAACTCTCTACCAGCCGAAACAAGTACCCCACGATGATTTAAGCCGACCTCCAAATGAATTAAATTATAAAATTTAGGCAGATGAACTGCGAGATTCTTGGGGAAGAGAAACTTCACAAAACAGAACAGAAATCATTATTAGTGTTCCAGAATATGGGACCAAAACGACACAAGAAACAATGGAGAAAAGGTGAAGCTAATGTACCCTTAGGGTCTCACTGGTTATTGTAAGAAATTTAACACGGTAAATCCTGCCAAGTAGTTGAGCAGCACGGCGAATAGTTTCAAGGTAATCAGCGTCAACTGTCTTATAGAAACAAACATACGAATTCACCAACAATGGTACGTTGCAGAGGAGAACTTTCACTGTCAGAAAACCTGCGTACTTGAAGGATTTAAGATTCACTGCATAAAGCTTGATTTTACATTCTAGTAACCCATGCTTCAATGTTTCAAGCAGAAAAGCAAATTTCCTCAGTGTAGGAATTGAAATGGTGACACAATTTATCTTTTGCCAATCACAATCATGTAAAACTAACTCTTCAAGGATTGGAAAGCCAGAAAATAAAAGCTGGGTTGACTCATCGTCCCGAAATGTAACCCTTGAAAGAGTCAAACACTTGAGGCTTATGAAACAGATCTGAGAAGGAATCTCTAGAGTATGAAGCATAGATAACTTCAGATTGCATAATGATTTGGAAGTAAAAAAACTAGGAGGTAACACAAAGCTCTGTCCTCCACAGAGGTTAAGATCAAGCACTTGAACATTATGCTCTATTGCTGCAGATATCCAATCTTTGAACAGGTCCAAACTGACATCGAAATTTAGCTCCAAGCAGAATTTCCTTAGATGCGAAGTGTCACGATGGAAAAGTGCCTTAGACACCAATACAGTGAAGCTAGACTCTAGCTCCAAGCAACTCCTTTGAAGATCAACGTCAGGCAGGAAAATCCACAAGTCTTTCCATCTTTTTGACAATAAGGAAGTTCTTATGGCCTCCTTGGTGGACGTAAAAGAAAGAATGTGAAGAAGAATGTTATCAGGTAAATCACTGATCCTGTCAATTTTCTGTCCCACATCATGTCCTTCAGAAAGCTTCTGACTTTTAGGATTCGATTGCACAGCAAGTCCATCCATATTTGTTACCTTTAGAGAAAGAGCAAAACTTTAGATAGTATTAGACAAAGTCAGGCAAAATATAGCACTGAATGTGGGAATTTAAAATTATAACAAACCGTTTTACACACTTTTTGTGACAAATAAACTCCACAAAAAAAAAATGGAAACCCTTCACGAATCCACTCTTTTTTTCTTTACAATAACTATGGCTTGAGAATTTGGAAATGAATTTAGAGGAAAAAAACCTCGAAATGAGTTTCAGACTTTTGTCTCTGATCCAGAAAATGTAACTCATCTGTCAATGAATTCCTTTATACATCATTTATAAATGAAACGACATTTCATTTTTCTTTATCCCAAACATGGACTTAAGTTTGCCAAAACCCTATTTATCATTTCGTTTTTCCTCCCCCACGAAACGTAGCTTATTATTATTACTGTTCTTATTATAAAACTCATACAACACACAGTTGCTCTCTCATGAAACTGCAATTAACTGAAATCAGAAACCTAAAAGTGAAGACATATCTTCTCTAAACACATTCATCGATAAAATAGAGACAATTAAATTCCAATAACACATGCAAATAAACGTGCAAAAAGCACATTCCGATTCTCCTCTCACAATCATAAACTAGCCAACCAAACACTCTTCAATTCAAACTCACAGAATTATAGATTTTAAACACAAAACTACTTTTGCTTTTACGATCAATCTTCTCCGGTATAGAATAAAGAACTTCAAACAAGAAAATCAATCAAACAGTCAACCCGAATGAATTTGAATTCCGTACCCGAGTAAGGAAATGAGATTGCACAGATTAACGGTGAGTTCCTGGGAAAAACCTGATATCCATTGTTTTGGTGAGTGGATTGATTTCGTAAAATGGATTTTAATGATCAAGCCATGGATGGATTTTGCCCTAGAGTGAAGGTTGAAGAAGAGAGAAAATGAGAAGACTGAACCAGTCGAGCAGAGAACAAACGGCGGAAAGCTACGACTGCATTTGGTTTTGATATGAAAAATATGTATTTATAGTTTCAATTTAAAATATTTGTTTAATTTTATAATTTAAAAAAAAAAAAACCTAATAGTTTTTTTTTATTATTTTGCTTTGAAAAAAAAAATAGTTTAATATAAGGATAAATATATTTAAGTTTTTTCCACTAATTTATACAATAAAATATATTTTGAATTTTTAATCTTATAACACGATCCAATGTTATAAATTTACTTGAAAAAATAAATGAAATTAGATGTCGACTTAATTTAAAAAATATATAAATAATAAAAATAGTTAACTTTAATTTAAAATATTTATTTCAATAATAAAAGAATTTTATATTTAAAATCAATTAGATTATATAAATAATAAAGATGAAAATTTATGAGACGGTATGAGATAAATCAAATCAAATATAAATAATTGAATTCTCGAATATTCTAAAAATAAAATATTATAATATAAAGTATTCAAAAATGATTTAAGAAGGTGAATAGAAAAATTGTTATGACTATAACTTTTGATAAATTTACCAAATATGAAAGTGATTTATTTGATATTATGAATGATTGATTACGTAAATATTGTTCGTTTTCGTTTAAAATATTTATTTATTTTTAATAAATTTTTAAAAGAACTTAGTAGTTTTTTATTATTTTTCTTTTTAAAACAAAATAATTTTGTATAAGGATGAATAAATTTAATTTGTTCCTCTAATTTATACAATAAAATCTACTTTTAATTTTTTCTATATATGTTTTAGTCTTATAATATAACGTTATAAATTTATTTTAAAAATAAATATAATTAAACACTGTTTAAATTTAATTTGAAAGTATTTATAAAATATATAATAACAAAAATAATTAAATTGTTTTAAATTTTTAATGTAATGACCCTAAACTTAAAAGGAAATAAAGTCATAAATTAAATGCGAAAGCGAAATAATAGAGTTTAGGGTTTACATTTCTTACACAATAATTTAAAATATTCAATAAAACTACGAGAATATCACTTCTAAAAGAATAAACAAAAATAAAATAAAATAAAATGTAATATACTAAACATTTTAGAATGACTTTCACTAGTGAAGGGAGTCCGGGTGATGAACTATTCACAACTCTCTTATTAATCAGGATCTGGGTTTTGGTTCTCTTGATCTCAAATAGTTAATGAAACGGTAAGTTACATTAACTCAATAAGAATATTACACTACTCGTTGATACAAAAACCAAAAGTTTGTAAAAATCATAAAAACAACCAATAAAATTCTTAATTTAAGTAAATTCATTTATCATAAGGAAACCCTTTTATTGTATATACTTACCGTTACGAGATTTTCAAAATTAACGTATAGAGACAATAACTCAAATAATATTCCAATCTCATATTCAAGTGAGTAAAAATAATATATTTTTTTATTTGTCTACTGGTATCATTGAGAGCCCATAGGGATATCACACTAAGCGTTGTAACGGCCCCGAAAATATTAAAATGAAATGAGTATTTAAATATATCAAGTGCGGAAGCGAGATCAAAATTTCAGTTAACATCCCTTACACGAAAAAAACTAAAAACGTACTTAAAATATAAAAGATTAAACTAACTAAGAGAGAAACTCGAAAATAA